ACCGATGACTTTTTGGAGAAACTCTCACCCAAAGAAGACCACCCTTAAAACGAACGATGTTTCCCAAACTGGAAATGCAGCCATTTTGAAAAAGGATCCCTCCACAACATGGCTAAATAGCGCCACTTTCGGACCCAATTGCATCTAAAATGCTCAGAATTGGAAGCCCCAAGTCAAGACCAGGCCAGAGGTGCGGTGTCACATGTCTTTAATTCCCGAAGTCCATGGCTCTCAGAACTCTCTAAGGCTATTTTGAGTGTGTAGCTTTTATTCATGAGCTCGGCGGACAGATTGTTGGCCTATTTACTGGGGTGTAACCCATGAGGGGAGAAGACGAATACCCTTGCGAACCGATACAGCATCCAAGCACGGACCATCCAATCGAGACATGATTACTTTGCTCTTTAATAATGACTGCAATTAGAATATTGGTAAAAGCTACTGTTTAAGCAGAACATACGTTCTGTTTGTTTTTTTCTAATCCCCAGCTGTGAGCAATATGTTTTCCAGTGGCATTTCACCAACCCTTAGAAGATAAATGCACCTTTCATTTTGCTGACTGGGCTGAAATCTGAGCCCATTTTTCAATATCTCTCCAATCATCCCGTCAAGTGTTTTTAAGCCATATCTGTCACACGGTGCCCGGGTCTCACTGTAAGTGAACACTGCAAAAACATGGACTTGAGGGGGTATGGATTATGAAATTCGTCTAGCTTTTTAAGTGCAATCCAAGCGACTGGCGGCAAGTTTTATTGACTCTATGAAGCACCTGCTTTGACAGTAATTCAGTCAAGTGCTTTTTGTGTTACCTTTAATGAAGTCTCCGGGAATCATCTGCCAGACCCTGGCTCTCTGATTGAGAGGCAATTATTTCTACTTGTTGACATAAACGCAAGCGTTGTGTTAGCTCCGAAAACAACAAAGCTATACTAGTGCTTTTGGTTGAATGGTTGCGCTTAAATCAACCATGTGGCTATGAAGCTGTCACTTTCCCGCAGATATCGCAAGTGACCCTTGCTCACGATACGATGGCTTCCAATTCGATGTGTTTGCCTACGTGAGCATTGGTTCTAGCCTGTACCGTGTAATTATACAGGTTCAAGTCTTTATATTTTCTCTTGACACTTCTTGCACACATGCCCTTTAAGAAAATTTGATATTAGTTTTCTACCTGCCGGATACCAATTGAGTATGATAAATTGATCTGCCAATTTTCCCGAATCGTTTGACCCGTACTTTGTTATCAAAATGAAACTATCCAATCCAATCAAATATATCCAACCCAAAAAGAGACCGACTGTTGCGTCGAATTAGCTCGGTCCAACGTCCCTCAGGAAATCTCCCAGTCTCAAAACTAAAGCCTCAGAAATGGCGTTCTGCTGTCAGATTTTAATTGAAAAGAGTCGATAGCTCTGGTCACATCTCATGAATGTTTCCTGTCATGTCTGCTGCAATATAACACATGACTTGGTCTTCAGTATGCATTGGTCTGAAGTGGTTCATCGTAAAGGCAGTGTATTACCAGGGTATATAGGCCGGGTATACATGCGAGTGTCGCCCCAGCACGGAACGCTCTTCCTTTTGAGCATGCTATCTCCCTCTGCGATCAGTGTTCCCGCGTCAAATTTGTACGACCTTATTAGTGGCCTGGAGGCCGTATATTATACTCCAGCAGACTTGTCTTTCCCAATCCCGACTCCTTTTATATCTCATGCCTTGCTACAAGAGTAAAGCCCCTGTGCCCGTGGCAATTGGAACACAGTAACCGTTATAAGGTCACAGTGATCACCAGGGATATCCCGTCTGATTTATATTGGTATTGAAGATTCCTGGGGAATTATTTCCATTCGGACCCCTGCAAATTAATGAAAAGTTATGATGAAGGAGACGACGGTCCAAATACTTGAAAGTGACAGCGGTTTTCAACTATCTGGAAACTCAATCGATTCGATTTGCTTTATGTTGATATGAATCTGAGTTCTTCTGTATATTGGCCTATATCTACAATATTTGAAGGTCATTATACTGCGGCCTGTCACAAAAATATGTGTTATCTTTTCCTGGAAAAACAAAACTTGAAGGACAATTATAAACTTAAACCCCGAATCTGAATGTTAGCCTTGTTAAGGTAATTCTATTTTAATGAGGTCTTACACTGTAAAAACGTTGGGTAAAATACTGTTGGACAATGTAATTTACCCGACATTGGTATGAAATTACCTCATATTGGGCTGAATTGGGTAAAAACTGTCAAACTATTGGGAAGAATTTGCCCAAGAGTGTAGGCAGTTGATAATTCGACCAGCACTGGTCGAATTATCAACCCATTTTGCCCAACTTTTTTACAGTGTACTGTACTTATTTTCACGTGGTACATGGATTTTAGAAGTCCGTCAGTGTACCAACTGGCGGTTTTGTATCATTTGGTTCCTTAAACGTTACCTGGAATTATGGTCCACAATTGTACCATTACGCACGATTTGCATTCATACCATCTCGTGTAGCAATGAAGTTCAAAAATTTTATTGGCACGTTCTGAATTAGATCAGTAGTTAAAATGTTAGTGAAGCTTCTCAAATATATCCAGCCAAGAAACCATGACGTCTCGGGCATTATACATTCTCAGAGTTCAATTTGTCTAAACCTTGTAGACCTCACAAGGTCGTGGAATCAGATCTAGTGCTGACGGTTTTACCTACAATCCAATACAGCGCCACCCAATAAATCTTACTGTATCCCAAGAGATTTCGCTCACGATTTGATTTAATGCTTGATTTACCATTGCAGTATTAGGGTGAAAGGTTTTAATGAAGGAATTGACTATACCGTGGTATCAGTGTGGGATTGTCATTTTTGTTAGTATATGTAAATTAAGTTATGAAAAGGCGTTACCGTGGAAACAGTCAGTATTGAAAGAATTTATTGACCCAACTAATGCTTGCACTTATAAACTATAGGACCCGCTTTGCTTGTGGATTGACTTCTCACTCAATGTTGAAAACGGCTTCTTAAGTAATCCTAAGTTCACAAAAGCACTGAGGTAGTTGAACTTTAATGTCTATAAACGACGATTTAAAAAAAAACCACCGGAATTCAAAATTTGGTTCTCAATTATATTTATTGATCAAAAGACATGTATAACATTAACAGTGACACGTTCATGTGAAGTGATACACATTTCAACTCTAATTACAACTACTGCCTCGAAAACATGGCATTTGGAATTCATTCTGAAATCCATAATGTGAAGACCTAATGTTGATTTTAACGAGGACGTCTTGTATTGTTTTAAACACCGACAATGGTTCAACATGATTTGAAGTTAAACCTTAATGTACATACAACAACGATTACCTGTCAAATATATATATATATAATTGACGTTTTTTCAGCATTAAAACACATTCATATGAACAGTTACTTTTTTTCATAGTCAACCAGAAGTTATCAAAATATTTTGCAGAAAAAGTACTTGTTATAAAACATCGAGCCTACGTTCTTACGCGACAGAAGTATATCCTTCTGTTAAGTTGTTATTATCTTCAAGAGAGCGAGCGTAACCATAAGGGAAAATGTAAAAAAAAAATACATCCCACAACATTACATGGAGACTTGGTTTCAGAAGAACCGTTTCGTGATGTTTTCTCGTCAAATGGCATCAGCTTCGCCCACATGTCTGGTCAGGGTCGCATTGTCGGTACTAAAGTAACTATAAACGCTTTCCCCAAAATTGGTCTGGAGGCGAGATTGGTCAGAATTGAAGTTCGATTTTGCCACGGTTAGTTGAAAGCTAGTCACCGGTTAACAGTCGTGTCGAGATTGTCGTCAACAGCAAGTCGCTGAAAGGTTAATGGCTGAGTCAATGTGCGCTATGTCAAGCAAACGTAAATGAGTTCGAAGCTCCAACGAATTGTTCTTACGATGAATTGCTCAATGTAATTGGAAAAATGTAGCAATTTACAGGAGTTACTCTACCTTAAGTGGAGATGAAATTTTTCTTTGGATAACCAACGCTTATACCGTAAAATTCAATATTCAGTCAGAATTACGCGCTCTTAATTTTAAACCATCTCCCTGGTCTAGGTGCCAGTGTTCATGACCTTGGAAGATTGGGATAAAAGTCGCTGTCAATTATTGATCTGTTCTAAACGAACAGCAAAACGCACGTCTTCAAATAGTCTACCGGACGACTAGGTCTATTTTTGTTTGATGAGGACGCCCTTCACACGTATTCTGATTGACTTTGTGATTGGATTTCCTACTTCCTTTTTGTATCAAGGGTCATTTTACAGCACTTGAGCATTTCTGTCACTTGCGAAATGGTGCTCCCTAAAATCGTTATCAATATTGTCAAATAAAAGATCGATGTCGATTTTGTCGATGGTGCAAGATTGAAAGATCACATGTAGGCTTAAATAGTTTGCAATTTCTACAAAATTATTACCTCTGATTATATTTGTGTTTTATTCATATTTAATATATTTCAACATACCAGGGGTTTGAGAACTTGTCGTGGTCTTTAAAGAAAACATATGACCAGCGTCGATCCCAAAGTATGGACTTGGCATTTCCTTCTGTTTTCATTAATGTGTATTTGCTGAAATTCGTGTACCATATTTCAGTAACATTGTGACGACGGATACAATTTGGTCAAATTGCTTGCAGATAAATTGCCTTTATATTCTCGTAAGTGCAGTCAATGTACATTCAGGGAATTGGAGTTGGGCCTTAGAAGTCGTTTTTTAATGGGTTGATACTAAAAAACGAGGTCCCGACTGCCGCTGTTTTTCCCCATCCTCCCCGACCAAGAATTCCGTCGCCCCCGATGCTTCGTTATTCAATCTGAGACTTAATTTGTCCGGAGCCATTTATCATTCCATTGCAATTTAGGCGCATTTTCGATGTGATGTGAATTTCTGTAGCAATTGCTCGGGTGAGTTTGCTGAGGCAGAGATTTAAAAAAAAAAAAAAAAAAAAAAAAAACACCACGACGCACGTGCCCGATACGGGACAATGATCAGTGATGGATCTTGGACCCTTCGGAGTGAAGAGTCATTGAATGAAGTCTACTGACTTTTCCTTCAGAATATTTCGTCTGGTCTCGGTCTCGGTCAAGTGTACTTTCTCCCCGTGGAATTAGCCGACATAATTTCAGCCTAATCATAGGGTGATTTAGAAATCCGGTCTTGGTGTAAATATGTGTCGGGTTCCAACTCACACACTAATTATGTTTCTCTACCTGCAAACAAAAAAATGTTTCTCATTTTCAGAAAAGCAAAACTGCTCGGTTTCACTTATTTTATTTCACGAGTGCGATAGTTCTTTACTAAAATGCATTTTACGGGGAGCGGATGTGTGTTTTGCTGTCGAAACAGCAGGTCATTATGCATGTCCTTAATGAGAGAATAGGCCTAGATGGCAGAGATATACTAAGTGCTGTTGGAGAGTGATAATGAGTGATCCTTCTTATTTCATCTAACTGCCATCGCCCGCTGCTGGGCAACGAAACACAGTCAACATTCGATGCTAACACCTTCAAAAGAACTTTGATCTTTACGAGTACTTCGGTCCTCGAAATGCCATTTTCACGATGTACATATCCCGAGAGATGCGGGCCAAACTAGGTTGATGTTTGGAGAGGTTTAGGCGGAACCTAAATTTAGAGGGGAAACAGGGCCATCGAAAAAACACTCGGTCCCGACATGGGAGCAGAAGTATTGGTGAAAGTGGATGCTGTCGTCTGGCTGCACGTCCAAGATTTTTGTTTTGACTTCCTCGTTCGTTTTGATAAAGTTGTCATGCGTAAAATGCAGACGGCGAGATGCATTCACAAATACATTTATTGTGTGTACGGTTAGCTGGAAAGTAATGGTGTGAATAGAAGGAGAGGGGTATGGAAATATATTGAATTTGAAGTTGAAACCCTCCGCTTCGTGCTGAACCAAATCACTCAAGATAAACATCTTTCAACAAATTATATTTTTAGTACCGATGGCCGCTTGACATTTTGCTTTCACCAGTTTTTTTTTCCTCACCAAAAAAAGCGGGAATAGCTAGCCTGCACTTATCTTAATCACTAATAGTTCAAAAGCCGTTGGTGTCCACAATACGCACAGCGTGTTCCGACATATGTTTGTTGAGCGAGGAGGAGATGAAATTGAGCTAAGTGCTCTACACCTTATCTGAAGTTTCTGGAAAATTTACTACATTCCCTTGTGTAAATATCAAGTCCCGTATAAATTGGAAATCTTCTTGAATTTCCACGATATTTCAGCCTTCGGATGCGGGATTAATATTTTGAAAAATAACATCATTAAACTTCATTTTCTGTTGCTTGCTTTGTTGATGTCGTACATTTCATATTTTTTTTTTAATCCACGAGATTTTGGGCTATGAAATGGAACGAAACAGAATACATCAAAGATCAAGTTATAATTCTGTAAGCTGTGCAAGGATTATATTCCTTGGAGGAATTTACCGCTCGGGTTACAACTTACCGTGAAATATAACCTGTGGTTGGTACGTCAAAGGTTTCCGTCGCGTGTTATGAGGTGTTGATTTTGTTCGGTTATTTTTGCTTGAAATGCCATTGTCAACGTCCTTCTAAAACCTTAAGGGGATCTGTATACTCATGTCCTTTCGTCACCAGTGTCATTGTCGCTAGTCATTGTCGTGTCCGGTCAATGCGGGAAATAAGACCGGTTTCTTTACTGACGTCATATGAAATCTATAACATTAAGCTCCCCTCTCTACTCATAAGATGTTTTTTTTAACCAAAAATCGTTCCTTAAGGTTAGCGTTTTCGAATGATCAATCATGTACGGAATGTAAACGTGCACTGGAGAATGGGTCTTTCTATGGCAACTGTCATGCATTTCATAGTTACCAATTTGTCTTCATCATGAGCAATTTGTCTCAGCAAACAACAGCCTTTCTATCAAAAAGCTTCTAGGTCTAGTACGAGCTGTTTCCTGGAGAAATTGAATTTGCTGGAATGGTCTTAAACCTAGTCCTAACGAAGTTGAAATTCACTGATGGTCAGAGAGTGATACAATGAGGCATTTTTAACATCAATTTGCAACAACCTAGGCCTATATCTGGATACACTGTATCTATTCAACATTTGATATACGGCTCTTTCCGTATTCACATGTGATTTCTCAGGTTGTAGGGATCACATTGTGCATTTTATATACAAAAGCGTTTTTCACAACTTCAACAGCCGTCAGCCGGTAGCTTTAGTATTTTATGTGTATCATTCCATTTGTTTTTGCTATATACGGCTTTTTGTAAATTGTAAATTGTAATTGTGATTCCCTATACATGACTGTTGTGTCTTAGCTTTGATAAAAATAGTGCTACACCGTTATAATGTAACAGCCGTCGAGAGGCGTGTTTTCAACGTGCTTCTATACGATTTTAAGAAATCATGAGAATACTCTTTGGATTAAACACATGTCGTGAAGTCGCTTTCAATGCTTAATGAAAGAAATTGGAATTTTACTTTCATCTTGGATCTTGACATAGTTCAGTCACAGTGGTGTAGGCCTACCTTCTGTGAACAAAAAACTTTGACACACTTTGGTATAAAAGTTTTAAGCCTGGGCGTTTCATTCTTAACGTGCAAAGTTAATATATTATCTAGCTTAAGCGACAAAGCTACAGTCACCGCAGCCATGTCATAACACACACAATTGGTAATCATATTTTTGAACACTTAGAACAAATACGAACGTCCGTGGTTGCGAATACTTATACTTCCTTATTTGGAATAAGAGAAACCTTGTTTGCATTCTACATTTTGAAAAAAATGTTGCAAATACAATTAACTTTCAAAAAATAATAAATATGGGTTAGGAAAGGTTGTATGGTTGTACTTATATTAGGAATATTCTTCACGATATGTTATTTTTACCGCTAGGTTTAGACACGAAATTGTTGACGTGATGTCCAGTGACTACATTCTTGATTCGTGAACTTTAGAGGTCACTCCACATTGTACAGTAACTGTGCTACCATGGACCGAGTTTTCAATTCTCTGGCGCTGATGCGGCCTGCATTGTGCCGGCATGAAGGTGATTTTAAAGGACTCCCTGTACCTACTGCTCAGAGCTGTGTATATTACGGGATTCACCACGGCATTGAAATAGGAGAAGATCCTAGCAACCTCCACTAGATGTCCCCTGACTTCCAGTGTTAACAAGAAGGTAAACCCCCGGAACATGCCGATGAGCTGGAACAGCGACATGATCTCAAAGGGTGCCAGGAGCGCGAAGAGTGCTATCCCGTTGATGACTAGCATCCGGGCGATTTGGTTCCGAGTCGAGGTGTCTCCGCCACTGCAGCGGTGGTTGGGATGGGTGTGTCTGCGATGCATGGACTTGTCAAGCCCCTTGATGATCCGGTGGTAGAAAATCACATTGATGATGAGTGAAATGAAGAAAGGTATCGTCTGTGCACCGTAGGAGTACTTATCCACCCAGTCATATACTGGGAAATAGTGATACCTCTGCCTCGGCCAATCGATGTACGTAGGTCTGTCCGGCCAGGTTATACATACAACATATACCTTGGTCAAACTGAGCAACAACGTCGCTGACATCAAACTGGATCCGAGAAAGGATACAGCCATGAGCTTGAAGACCCTTAGTTTGGTGTCTCGCTTACGATGGGGTCTACAGACGCCATTGTATCGCTCCCACGACACCAGCGTGATGAAACACAGGGTGGTAAAGTACGAGGTATTGATGACAAACTGAGTGAGTAGAAAGCCTGAGAGACCAAGGGGCGTGTCGTCTCTGTGGATAGGGGAGTTAGCGTAGCTCCACACTCTGCTTCCGATGGCAAACACCAGGAAGAGTATATCAGCCACTGCAAGACCCACCAGGTAACAATTGGTGACCGTTCTCATGCGGGGGACCCGTATGACCACATAGATGAAGGCAATATTGTTGACTATTCCGAGTGTCATGATAATTGGTAGGAATACAGAGACCAGCACCGCTTGCCCCTCGCTGTAAGTGATTCCCTCGACCGCCTCTTCCGATGTATTGTTTTGATAATCATCGCAGGCCTCGTCGTCAGAAACTTCCAAGGCTCCGGTGGTGATCTCAGTCAGGTGCCAATGTGTTAAATTGTACATGCCCTCCTCAAGGAGGGAGCCCATAGCGGAATAGGGTTGTGGAACGGCAGCAGAGTCATCGAAACTGGCAGATACCAGGAATTAATCGTGGCAATCAAGTCTGTTTTACTACACTTTGTCAAGAAATTCACTTGATGTTGACGTATAAAACCTGTGACGTTGTGCGATGGGGTTAAATACACTAACACCTTTTTTCTCGCAATTACTTTGGAGTTGAAATTAATCCAAAGTTTTCCGGTCCTGATGCGACTATAGGACTGTTTCCAGGAAATCTCCTATCCGAGACTTCTCAGACCTGTACTTCAAAGCATCCATGCTGCTCCACAAACCTGTCTCATCTTGCTTAGTGTTGTCCCAAAGCGGACCCATCGTCTACCGATTGCTGCTTTACGTTGGAGATCAGCTCCCGTAGCTAGTGAGCGAGTGCTCAGTGTTTTACAGCATCTCCGTATTGAACAGCCTCGGTACGTCACGTACCGGGTATCGCCGTCGCACGAACTGATCACACAATGCCGCTCTCTTTCGACGGAGGACTGCTTTTAGGTACCTGGGCGGATTTTCCGTTTCCACGCACGCGTGTGCGCGCTGGTCATCGGTTAGTGCCGTGCCATTTCCGACCTTGATGTTATTAAGGTGATGACAAAACACCTTGTTGTTAATCGACTGGTTTGCCGCATTCGACGTTGCCATGGCCACCATTATGTGAAAAAAATAGCGCGACTAATAATATATAGTTTTGCTGCCTCACATAGACGTTTGTCATTTGTAATGATGTTATAAACTACGCTGGTATTTAATAGGCATCCCTGCACTTTATTGTCTGCGAAGCAGTGAGGTATTGTTATGATAGAGATTAACTGAAGAGAAACCAGCGCAGTTAACAACACCTTCCGATTACACACAGTTGTCTTTTGTCTGACATAATTCAAGTGATTCAAGTGAAGTCAGAAATTGTGTCAAAGAATTTCAACAATAGATGTACGATCTCAGTACAAACTTTATTGAAGTAAGATATGTGTGTGTGTGTGTGTGCTCAAAAATTCATTGATAAAAAAAAATACATTATTATTATTACAAAGTCACTTTGTGTAGAAGGAATGGCAGAGGGCGCCATTAGTAGCTGCGAATTCAACAGAATCATCGGTCTTCCGATGAGCAAATTTTGTTTGTATGTAAACCCATTTACCGTTTCACGGACACCGCCATCTTTGCGATCATGTGGCAATCTGTGGGGGTATTTCATTGAAAATACGTCCTATCATGCTTCGGATACAATGCCCCATGTTTTGTCATGTGATCACAAAGATGGCGGTACCCGTGAAACAGTCTATGCTAGTGTGCAGTCTGAAATTCATATGCATTTGTAATCACAGGCAGCTTCTGGGGTTTCCAATTCACAAATTTGCATTGAGCAGTTTGGTATATAGACGGATCGTCTCAATAACGTATGGTAATGAGAAGGTCATAACTTGGGCTTTCCTTAAATTGTCATAGTATCCCCCTAAAGAAAACAAGGAACCCAAGTTCCCCACGCATTGGATTTGATTACGCCACTGCGTTTTATGGATACCAGCTTGTAGCAATAATACAAAATGAAAAGCACTCAGAGAGCGCAAACCTCCGCCAAGGCTAAACAATTCCCCGCCATATTGTCAGCACACCAAAAAGAAATACTCGCATCAATGGTGAAGAATGATTAAAAAAATTCCTGGATCCAGACCCAGATCCGGATAACTTCCAAAAAATACAAGGACCACCCTTAAAAACAATTTCATGCAAATCCGTCCATAACTTTTTGAGTCATCTTGTTAACAGACAAACCAACCAACGAAACTAAAGTACGCCGATGAAAACATGACCTCCTTGTCGGATGTAATAGTGACGTTTTGGGAGTATAGAGGGCGCTCGAGTACGTTGCTGGCTGGTGGTGCCTGTATGCTTCTTACTTCTGTGTCATTTTCTAGGCACTTAGTTACCCATAAACAGCATCGCTGAACTCGGCGAAGACATAATACATGGTTCGAAATTAGTGGAAGCCCGCTAGCTAAATGCTAGCCAAATGCTAGTCAAACTATTCCTTAAGTAGCCCGGCTGGCGAGTCAAAAATTATTGGGATACGGCAAAAATGAAAGGACAGAAAGAAAGAAATCATAAAATTCAGAAATCACACCTATCAGTTTGTGTATAATTTTATCAACTGTTTTAACGGATGAAGTTATAAGATCTGTTTATTTAAAACACTGACAAAATTGCCTAAGAATAGATGAGAAATCAGTTGAAAATTGGCAAAAGCGACCTATTTTCGTACTTAGGTCTCCTTGTTCGATCACGTCTGTTTTCACATCGCGCATTACTTGCGTGAGAACGAAAATGATAACGGCGCGGAGATTTTAATACCTACCTACATCTGATGGAGTTGTGGATTTCGTTTGGATCACGTTTTAATACAGTTCTTATCAACGGTCATTTAGATGTGTTTGTAAATAAAAATAAATCCTTCAAGTTTGTTCAAAAAAAAATTGTCTGCCAAAAAAATATTCCATGAATGTTCATGCTCAAACGAGTGATCGAGTTCCACGAGTCCACACGAAAGTTTTCGGAAGTGACATGTCCATGTTATTGCAGGATATTTCTCTTTTTCATCATGCGATTTTTTAGTTTCCATAAAATTCCGAGGGTGATGTTTGATCGTTCCCCACCGATCGACGCCCATGGTTGGCACCGTGCTTCAGAACGATATACACGTACATTTTATACGTATAGTAGGGCCAATGCATACATGCTGTACAGCGTCAGTTATGGCACACTGCGGTATTTTCGTAGGCCCTCCCCCAAGTTTTCGCAGGCCCCCAAATTTTTCGTAGGCCCTAGGCACAGTGCCTACTGTGCCTATTGGATAAACCGGGCCTGGCCACCAGGGGTCAACTTTCAGGCCCTATACACGTTTTACATGTATCCATATTGCCACATTGTTGTTTATAAAAAATGAGGCAATATAAAAGAAAAAAAACATGCAGGCTAGTGAACATGCCCGCGGGCTAGTTAAGAGTCTGTTTCAGTAGCCCGGCTGGCTGGTGAACAAAAAAGTTAAGGTCGAACCCTGCATAAAAACATGAAAGACTGTTGGGGAGGCTAGATTCGAAATCTCAACCTCGCACTTTTCCTCTAATACTGTGGTCCGGCATTCCTCAGTCATTACAACTGGTATTTCGTGACTGAATTTGAAAGAGGTATCGATTACCAATCGTGTTTAAAAACACAGAGAACCATTCAGACAAACACATTTCCGCACATAAATGAGGCAAGTGAAAACTTAAAACGAGAATGCCGCGCACTCAGACGATGTGTCATAGACTTTCTTTGTGACTATAGAGGGCGCTTGTTGTGAGCGTAATGTGGTTCCTGTCAAAATACACCTTTGAAACGTTACACGTCCGAATAAAAGAACAGGTTCTCTGTACATTGTGTATTAGTACACATGTTGAAAACAGTGAACAAAAAAATCACGACAAAAATCACCTGACGTTTATTTATCCATGCAAATCGATATTTATTTGTTAATTGTTTTTCCTCCCATGTGCTGAAGCACGGTCAAGCCTGAAAAAATATCAATGATATAAGACAATTAAAACAGTGTGCAGTTGTTGTTCAGAATTAAGCAAGATCAAAATAATCAAAAGTCGGCCTAATTGGGATTTGAATCCCATAGGGCGGCTAAAGTACCACTTTTCTCCAACTTGACACGCATATATTTATTCGAAGACGGAAAAGACATGAAAAATACCAAGAGTTAGAGGCTCCATTACCATAATTTGATGTGACATGCGGACTAACAATGAGTCAAATCATCATCGGTATTAGTGTGTATATCAATAGCCAACTTAAAGATAATCATAACCATACATCTACGTAAAACAAAAAGTACTCTTTTAAAGTTTGATAAGGGACTGTATTCAGCGTATTGACACTTTTAGATCTTCAGCATGGCTCCTTAGCGTCCAGTCGCTGAGTAGACATGGCACTCTGTATCGGGGGAGTTTGGGTTATAGACGTGATACTCGCACAGGTCTTCGTCGAATTCGGCCACGCATCCCTCTGTCATTTTACCCGGTATTGCAACGCTGAAAAACGTATAGTGATAAGCATTTATTTAGTCATGAGGCAAGATGTTTAAGCATGTAAAACGGCCATCCATAATCGACTAACCCAGGTTTTAGTTGGACTCTAGTCGACTCTTAAGAACCCGGACTTGGGCAACGTTTGTATCGCTGGTTCTTGTTCGTTACATTCTTTCAATATAAATAATGAGAACTCGTAATAAAGGAACAATTTCCGGTCTCTGCAACTTAATATTCGGTAAAAGGGAAACGTTCAAGTACGGCGTTTACTTGGCAGAAATAACCATTAATTTAAAAAGTAATTGGTCATACATTGTTGCTTCGAATGCGTTTACTTGGCAGAAATTGTTTCTTCGAATGCTGTATGCCTCAGTTTAATTATTATGATCAAGGAATTGCTCAATTAATGACAGTCTTTACAAAGAGTTAAGAAATGTAACCCGACTAAAACGTACTTGAAGCAGCAGTCCAGTCGTGTTCCATCCGAGCTGCAATCACAGTCATGACAGTCTATTACCCCACTGAAATTTGGCTCGCAATCAGCTTTAGAGGGTGAAAAGAAACCTTTGTAAGTCTTAAAAAAAAATACCACCAATCCCAACAAAATCTCATGTCATGTTTTTTTAAAGTAATATTGCAGTGTCTTGTTTTCTTGAGGCTTTTTGTCACGTTGTTAAATCACACTAAAGAGGGGCCCGTATACGATCGCCTCGTGTTGCGAATTCGTAGTGTGAATACACAGGGGCCCTTGCCGGATTGAACGTTCACGTAACGGCTGGTTTGGGTGAAGAACAGTGTGAACGTTACGTCTCGGATCCGGTTTGGTTTCAACACTGCTCGAACCGGAGACACTGTGAAAAAGCCTTATATGAAATATTCAAAAGGGCACCAAAACATTACTGGATATTTTTTCTTTAATTTTTCACCCTTGCGAACGAAAAGTCATTGTAGCAATTTATACGTCAGAAGCAGGGCACTCGGAGACAATATTTGACGAGAAGTTGTTCATACTCTTTCATAATAATGGATATTATTATGAAAGAGACGTATTTCATTGAGACTGAGTTATAACAGCCTTAAACAAATTGTGCCTGTTTCCTTAAAAAGTGCTGACATTAAAATGTATCGTCCGTACGATTCTTTTTATTGGACGGGGCTGTGATTTTCCTGCGTCAAAAACGTATTTTATTGCTTCATCTATAGTGTAGACAATAACGATATCCCTGTACATTCACAGACCCCTTCTTCATCAGTTGCAAAAAGATTGTGACAGTTATTGTTCCGATAATAGTCATGGGAAGTTTCTTTGTACAATAGGTGACATAATACTTTCGCAACTGAAGGAGGCGTCTGTTAATGTATACTGTGATAGCACGCTCGAAATGGTCTATATCCGACATATGCTTACCCTGGACATCCTGGAAGCAGTAGGGGTATATAGCTACCACAAATTGACAAAGTACTACCACAGCTAACAGTTTCTTCATGTTGAAAATTTTTGCTTAGGGTGACAACAATCACAGATGAAATTAGCGCTTGTGCCTGGAAGATTATGAGTGTTAACCTTGCTGCTTCTCTCCATTTTATAGACCATCCAGAATTTTTAAATAGATCTGGTTTCACACAAGTGTTGTTACCATATCAGTCATGCACTGAGATCATATTTTGAGCGAACAGATGTTGATGGGTAACGTAGCACGAGAGTGCTATCTTTTATTTATTGATGTATTTCTCTAAACGAGTATGAAATAAATATGTCTTGAATTGAATTGAAATTGAATTGAATTGAGAGTTGTCGTGACTAGCTCAATTAAAAAGTAGTTAATATAAGACTTGGAAGCTCTCTTTCGGGAGCAGTATATCGATGTCCTCGATACCAACTCTTTCATTACAATAATCAAAGAAGATTGTTTCATAAGCTCTGTTATTTCATCACGTTGATACCTGCTGAAATCATTTAAAGTCTTTTTACAGGATTTGGTTACCAATACTGAATTCCCTTTTAATAATCCTCATCTGGAAAGTTCATCATCACAGTTCCAAAATATATTCTATGACACATGAAAGGTATTCATTTCCAAAGGTTCTGTATTTTTATATATTAGAATGCAAGTGTTACGAGGCAATTATAACGACCCCCTTATCTGGCAAGTTTGTTGGCAGATATTCAGAAGTACTCAACATGGCGTTAAATTGTCTTTAAACCGATTCTGCCCAGTTAAAGCTGAACATTAAGTGTAGAATTGGAAACTGTCCAACGCTTAACATATCGTTAATCCTTTTTTTTAGGTCGTGTCCCTATTCTTGTTTCTTATACCAAATGACCTTAAAATATGAGCCGTGGGCTCACACTTGTCCTGACTTTCACCCGCACCCCGTGCCGAAGCTATTGCATTCTACAAACGGGTATATCATTAGTATATAAACATTTTAGACATCTATCTTAGTTGTATATCAATGTCATCACAGATTTTAAAAAACAATAGTAAAAAAGACAGGTGTAATTTTCTTAACAACGATTCTTAACAAATTATACATTGATAAGTACTTGAAATTACTTGTTCATAAAATTGTCCTTGTCAAAACCCAAGAATGACTGTAAACATTACTGTTTTGTTTATCTTTCCTGTTCGAACCTGAGCTACTTAGTGCTGTCAAAAGATATGGTTATGTTTGTTCAACATCTTGATATTAACGGCTCACACCCATTATGGCTGTAACTATTAATGGTTCATACCCATATATTAGCTTATGACAACTGATATCACTTAGAACTAGATTGTAACATTTCAGAAATTGAAGATTGTAAAAAAAACTCGTACAATCATTATGTTTATATTTATTTCTCTCTTAAATACCTCTGCAATTGTACCATACTGTGAATAATTTGTACTTAACATCAATGTAATAGTTGAGGATTCGGTGTGACGGCGTTTATACACCCATCAGGAGGGCTTAACATCCCATGAAGTCAGTCCCGAAATACCGAGGAAAACCTGGGTCCGCATTACGATAATCATTGTTGTATCTGTAATACGTTTTGCCTTGGATGAAATAGGTGTACCCTACATGCAAAAAGATGGAGACGAAAAGAGTCATTGTTATGTGTGAAGATATAACCTTCCTTTTCAGTATGGTCCCCTCCGTTGACATGAAATTTGTCCAATAGATATAATAATAATACCGGAGTCTTATATAACGCACGTATCTACCAACAATTAGGTAGTCAAGGCGCTGGTAATTATGTCTATTTTTAAAGATATGGACATAAAGTTAGACAAAAGTGGTGTTTCAAGATAGTTATTACATTGTTTCCAAACTGGTGCCATTCATTTTTGGAATATTTTGTGGACGTGACATTTTAGGACATTCTCCTCAACTTTGCTAACAGTCGTCGGAACATCATATCATGTCAAAGTTTAATTTAAAAACGTCACTGAGATGTAAATTAAACTGACAAGCATTCAACAAACATATCTCTTTCTCGATTGAAGAGTTTCAAATTAATGTTAGTGCGACATATGATACTCAGTGGTAACTTACCATCTGTGTAGTCAAAAGAAGCATCAATAAACGGAGGGATGCCCTCCCACACATCCAGCACGTGGTAAGGATACCCGTATTCTACCGATTGGTATTCTTCATCGAATCGCCATACCTGTACATTGAGAGGGACCAGCGAATGCAAGCCTGTCATTCACCATTTTGTCGTTGAAATTATGTGTCGTAAATATGCGTTGGCGTATTCTGTTATTTTACATTAACCCAATGGTATCCACTAATCCAATGCTCCAGAGGAGTGAAACATTTTTAAGGATTGAGAAAGGTGGAGTCCATGGGATTGATGTCCCTTGATTGTTCCAATACAAATAATTGACCATTGGATTCCTGCACATTTGAGGGATTTTGGAGGATTTAGCAAGGTCACTGCGTATGAATGTCGTGTAATGTATATACAGATAGTGTAGAGAGATAAGTTTTTTAGTTGATCAAGTTTTTCGTAATGTGTGCATTTTATCTTTTGTCAAGCCAAAGAGGACTAAAAGTTTTCAGCTGACTTGAACTTGTTGAAGCTCTATTCATTGAATGAGCCTGACCTGATGATCCTTGAAGAAATACGTGGTGTTGTATCTGTGTAGCATCACCACTGCGTCAATGTCATCAGGCAGGCCAAGCTCGCTGATTGGCCGTGGATAGCCCGGTAGAGGGCGCCTGCCTTTGTATAACCAATAATGCGGCCCTGTGTTGTTTAAACAGAATGAGGAGAAAAATGGAATCATTTTGATTTTATAATGCAAGAGATCCGGGTGGTTTTTTTTTTTGGGGGGGGGGACACCAAAAGCTAGAATTTTTCTAAAAACACTCGAACTCTATATTTGATCAGAATTTTAACGTGTCTTTTTACCTGAAGTGGTATTATTTTGCTGGCAACCTGCATTTTTTCAGTGTTTCACTGCAAATGTGACACTTGAACTCTACGCTGAATGGGAACTCCAATGACTGACATACCATATGCTTGGCCTAGTTTCACTACTTTATAATTGCTGTCAATTTTACCAACAAATTAAGGAGAATTGATGCGATCAGAGTGGAAGATATGGATGAGTGAAACATGATAGTTGCTACACTTGCTATGTAGAGCACATCGTTGTTCACCACTGCGGCTTGAAAGCATAGAGCTTTGTGCTACTTTTTTAATTTTCGACACCACTTGTCTTCAGTGTGATGTTAGTTCAAACCCTTATTGTCTATCAATCTATGTACATACGAGGCACGGGGAAAAGGAATACTGCACAAAAGCACTTGAAGCCATGTTGGCAGCAGAGCCTTTTCCTGTTCAAAGACAAGGCCTTACTGCACCTTTAAAAAAGACAACATGGCCGTCCTGTGGTCTCTGATACACCGCGTCTATCATCCGGGGAAGCTTGAAGAACCGTTTGCGTATGGGAAGGCCGGCAGAGGGCGCTATCAGCTTCCCGGGTCGACTGATGCGCCAGAATCGACGGTCCTTCAATGAGCATATTTGAACAGGAGGTGCATTTTTAACTGATTCAAGTACAAATCCTGAAAGATCTCTATTTGTGTTCTGGGATGGCTAAAGGGCCTAACAGTCTTGAGGTGTTGCAGATGAAAAACATTAAGTAGTGGATAACGGTTGTGGCAGTTTTGAAACATCAATCTGAGAAAGTATGTGTGAATGCGCTTCGTATGAATGTGCTTTTTCTGTAAGACAAGATAGGAACACTTATATATGAGTTCACATCCTTTTAAATGTCAGCCAAAGTGGTATTCAATATATCTTACCTTGAACACATAGAGCACTCCATCAATCATAGTTGCAGCGTCGTAGCCTTTGTTGCAATGAGAATCCGGGTCGCCATAATTACTGGGTTCCAAAGTGCCTATTTGAAATGAAAATTCCAGAGACTGTGAGAAAGTTGCCATTTGAATTAAGCGAAAGATTAATCCTGTAAAAATAACCATAATGCAAGGAAGTTTACGGATCTGAGTTATTGAATCATTGTTCTTCAGTGGCCATTTCTGTTTGCCATCCTTGGGAAACAAAAATCCAAAATCTACATGGTGTGTGAGTCTTTATCCAAATTAGCAATTGCTAGATCTGTCTCGATTATACACACTTTGCACACCATCTTAGAGGTGTGGTACAAGAGTCTGTACCTCAAGATGGCTGCTATGGAAAAGGTCAGTAGCAGCTATTAGTGAGTTACAAAGTAACGGTATACCATAGAGAAGCTGTGCTGCTCGTATGTCGTCTTCCTGTAATTTGAGGTCAGGCATGTAACCACTGTACTCAGGCGCCATGATAGCGCCCTCTGTCCACGAATGCTGGAGACCCAGGCTGTGCCCAAGCTCATGCAAAGCAACCTGGAACAAGTTATAACCTGCGGCGAAGAAAATAAAACGCAAAAGTGCGACCATCGTGTGTAATAATAACATCAATTTAAGTAAAATGAAATGTGAAGAACATCTTATGCGCAAATGTATAAGTGTCTCTCGTGAATTTGTTCAATTCAACAATAGATATTTCCAATTTGATTCCAGCTCGATTTAGCAAATATTAAATTAGTTAGGTACTTTTTCCCCACACTGGATCTGCGCGCATGATATTTTTCCCCCATAAAATATTTGAAGATAAATTTATGACTACTACTGATGTACCTTCATCTCCGTAATAAGTGTAAACTTCCGAGTCATCGAAATGCACATCGCCGTCCAAATCGCCGTGAAGCCCGTTAGGTACGAAGGCGTGCGCGATGGTGCCATTAACACCATCAAACTCGTAGGGACAATGATCGTGATGCCATGTAGCGAACTTGATATGGATATCAGCATAGCCGTAGGTGATGCGACGGAAGGTGAGGGGCGTGGCGTCATCCCACTGTTTGAAGGCTCGGTCGATCGAATCATCCACCTGGTCTTCTGTCATCCGATAGTAGTAGGGATAGTTCAGGATTCTATTGAGGCAAGTCAGGTGAAATTGTGAGAAATATTTTGACACATTATAATCGATTTTCTTCCAATTTATGTAAGAAATTCAATGTTGCTGCAAAGTGCTCAAAGATTCTGCTCTAACGTGATGACTTCCTTTGCATTTTTTATCAGCCTAATCCTGTACAAAAGTCGTTTTCTATAACACAAAACATGCGGCTTCTTTACTTTGATTTGCAGTTGAAAGTTAGATATGTTGCAGCAGTGTTGTTCCGCAACAAGGAACTCCTGTTAATTTGTGTTACCCAAGTCTGCTCTTTACTGCATAAGTCATGAATATACATCTATTTTAAACGAACTTTGTTTTAGTTAAAAGATGTGCTCGGAATCATTGATGTGAGATGTCTCTTTTGCAAACCCCTTGCCTCAACTATGGTAGAATTGAGTCAACTTGGTATGATTTCAGTGTATAATAATACCAACCTGTAAGTCAGATGTTTCTTTTTCCACCTCGTCCAGTCGACAGAGTACCTCCTTTGTCTCCTGTTCACCGAGTGATCATCATCTTCTAATCTGATGGGGTCCGGCACGCCACAGCGCGGCTTTCCCCTGGCCTGCCGCGTCGAGACGTGGTTTGTCCTGTCATCCCGAGGAAGATTCTTAGAAGACTCTAGCGTTGTGTCATCCTCTTGAAATTTTCTTGGAGCTGAAGCTTGACCATCTTGTGAGGAAGGTAAGTCGGACCAAGGTGTCTGTAAATAGTTCAAATTTGTTTCTTTGTCACTTGCTTCATGTATTCTGTTATTGACTTATTAATTAACAAATTCTGTTTACATATTTGTTTATATTTTCATTGATGGAAAAGATCAGCGAAATTTTTTTTTTAAACTGTCCTGCAAGTCTTAAAATTCCTTAACGCCTTATTTCATCCATTTGAGTGAAAGATACTTAATACACACACTCTTCTGAAACAATTTGAACTTTCGAAATCAACTTCTTTCTTTCATAATACAGAATCTGCATGTCGAACTTTATCTGAACCCGAATCCTGTCCGTATTTTGATGCACCTGGGAGAGGTTGGCGAGCACCCCAGAGAAGTTAGCAGGAGAAAATTGTTGGGTAAGTTGGCGGAATTCTCTCCCACAGAGTAGCCTTTGCTATGGGTACTTCAGAGCACATTCTGTAGGCCGCTAACTTGTCTTGAAACACCGCTGAGCTTTTTAATGAACACCTCTTGCGCTCGTCATTCGGAAAATTCCCCACTCGGAACAAAGCCTATCCCACCGAAGAGCCTTGCAAGGGATAACCAAGTTTGGGATTGGGTTGAAATCACAGAGCAACTCAGATCTGGTGTATGGGTCTGATTAAAACACTGCTCAAATACTCGGATTATCAGAAATTATTTGTTTTTATTAAGCTTTGATAATAGTCTGATTCATCTATAATTATTCCATAAAATGAAAGAGTGGGGACTGCATTTCAGCAATTTCACACAAAAGTTCAACTTTCCATCTTCGCAACCGGATTGGCATGAGAAAATCTGTATCACTGCATGTACTTTCACATCAGCAAATGTTCGAGTATCTAAACCTATGAATACGTCAAAACACGTTGTTTATATTATGAAGTATAATCTGGTCAAGGAGACTTATTTAGACAGGTCAGTCCCGTCCAGACTTTCACCGGTGGTCATCTTATCGTGCTGTGTCCAGCCACTTATGAGCTGGACATCCCAGCCAGCGTGAAAACTAATCCTCTATACTTCCATTCTGACGGTGTATCCAAAATAATTACATCAAGGGATCGGCAATTTCAAGGAGTTATACTAAAGCACAGTAATTTACTAAGCACAGATGGTACATGCTAAGCAGCAAAAGGTTACCAGCCACAATGCTATGATGAATGCTGCGTGTGTAACTGGTCCTCAGCGGATTCCTGCCTAGTAATAATATCTGCTTATACTTGCATGAAATTAAACCCAGGACACTTCAGGGACAAGCCCGAATGACGGTAATTTCTCACGTTCTGCCCGTGCGGCATCGCGGCTTGACACTAAATAGCTGCCAATTTACTGAACACCCTACACCATGCTATGAGATAATGGGTGTATAATGTTCATCTCTCAGAAATGCACAGGGTTGGGAATTGTATCCAACTTCACTAAGTTATTGAATCAAATTCAGAGCCACCTTCGCTGTCTTTGTACAATTTGTATATGAAAAAAAACCTATTTTTTTATTGAGTGAACCATCGACAACCATTAATTTGTCTCTTTTGCTGCTTACTTGTCTTATAAAATAAGTAAGATTTGAGGCTTTGCATGGTGGAGTCCTGAAGACGGTCAGAGCATACTGACCGGAACGTCGAGTTTATACCTCTGGTTCTTTTCAGAACCATTCTCTTAGTTGAGAAATTATTCGCACATGGTGTTTCCGCAAACCTTTCATTATTTCTTATAAAATAGTTTTATTGAAAGAAATCGTGCCCGCAATAAAAACATCATTTGATTGTGTTGTCAAAATGTTTGGACAAAAAAAAGCGAAGGTATTTTCATGGGTGTTTTTTTAAGGGAATGTTTTCCAGAAACGTTTTGGCAGAATCTATTCCGTCACTTTTAGTCAATCATTAAAACATACTTACAGTATCCAAAACAAATTTGACAGAATAACAGACTAGTTTATATGGATACTTTTTTCAAAGTTGATAGAAAGCCAGTTACTATATGGTAAAGAAATAGTTCGTCATGATTGCTAAAAAAAAGGTTTTGCGATTTTAGTAATGCTGGTCTTATACGGTCAAGGTAGTCTGGGTCCATTTTTTGGGGTGGGGGTTGCTAAGGTCAGGGTTAGGGGAGTCAGCCAGTCAGTCAGTAAATGAGATAGGTACAAATAATTTGCAGGCTGGCACTCTGGGACCAGCACTTTGTTTTAAAAATATCATTTGTAACAATTAATTCATAGTTTTGGGTTTTGCACACTATGGATTCCGATCTCCATCAGGTGTGTGGTAGACAACTATACTCCCACGTACCAGCTATTTTTGTAACCGAAGGTCGGGGAATCCCCAACAGAAACGAACTTGGGTTCAGATCATGAACCCCACCCACGTAATAATAGACTAGGGGTTCAAAATCGAAATCTTCCACTACCGATATGTAATAAGACACTTTCCGATTCTGATCAACGGTGAATGGTACATCACGTATAATTTTCCATGTAGGTGGTCTTTTTTTTTTCAAGTTTGAGAGTTCGCATCGCTTATTTTAGATGAAATCTCTTTCTTATGTCTTACATGACTGTGAAGTCTGCATTATCATCATATTAGAAATTTACCATCACATGATTTTGCAGTCTGATAAAAAGATAATTCTTCTTACCAACTCTTGATGCAAACCGGTGACTGAAACAACAGCTTTTTCCTGTGTTGGAGCAGCTTGGCAGAGCTCCCAATCTGTGAAGATGACACCGACCAAAAATATCAAAACGATAACTTGACCAACCCGCGTTGCTCCCAATTTGGCCGACATGTTCCTCGGATGGTGCCGGCCTCGCGTGCGTGCCGCCTCACTCGCCGACTAGTTTCCCGAATGACTGTGGCTTCATAAAGTTCCCAAAAACTTGGATCCCAACTCCAGACACCCAAGTTGCCTTCTTGGCTGTCTAATAGGGGGATCACTGGGAACTTTTAGCGGCCCCGACGGCCGCGCCATGAAACCTCCGTACCATCCCACGCAACAGTCGTCGTATGGCGCGGAATCCGGACATGATGCCGAGAAACAATCAAACTGAAATGTGTATCGAATTATGAAATATGATTGGAAGCGGTGTCCGATGGCACGCGGTTACTCCGGGTACCCACTGGTACTGACCCATACGTTGCAAGATGTTGGTTCCACTCACGCTGTTTGGTGGTAGTCCCTGGGTGGGTGAATGAATACATGACAAGGTTGAATTATCTTACCGATTTTATGGTTCGGGAAATTATTTTACCCTTAATCAGACTGACATAAATACTCGGGCAGGAATATGGAAATACTCAGACCTCAACCCCTTATCTTCCGGCTTGAACTCGTTTCAACTTCTTTCGAAAAAAAAATACACCATGTTTTCACATTCTAAGGGACCGAGTCAGGACATCTTATTTCGTATAGTTGGTACAGCAATTTGTTTTCGCTCGTTAGATTAAACACGACTTTGGAGGATGCTCGTCATGAACCAATATGCCAACGCTTCCTAGAAAGTCACCCGGTGAGTTCGGTGCCGCGCCGCGGGCATTGTGTGTCAGAATGTGGCTTGGTAATCGACGGAATCGCCGGCATTATTCCTTCTTCCAAGATTAACTTATCAAGATGAAATACTCCACTTCCTTGAATTTTAGTCAGGTTTCACATTCTTGCACTTTCAGTGGAATTTACAGCGATAGTATCACGTACAGTTCAGTTGATGTTGGTGAAAATCATAGGAATTCTCGATTAAGCTTACAACAATTGAGGTATTTTTTTATTTTATTCTCAAAACTGAATAATGAGGATACTTTAAAAGTATTATTTTATTCTCAAAACTGAATAATGAGGCTACTTTCTTCTTTAAAGACGAAATGAATATCTCAGGGGTACAGTCCTCATTCGGTAACACTTTTGTTTTGTTTTCAAACTATACACTAAATGAATAATACCACTGATCATTAAGCAATTCCCGTCACTGCAAAAAGTCGGTGCCGCTATCTCATAATAGCGCCCTCTTGGGAGCTTCCATCTCCATGTACCGTGGAAAAATAAGATAGCTGAGAGAGAACCAGCTCTATTCTGTTTTTCCCCCCAAATGGGGCGATCGAGGAGCGGCGCGCGAAAGAGGGGTGTATTATAGGGGCTTGACGAGGCACAACCCAAGCAAAAGATTTGATTGTATTTTTATTATTTTTTTTAATCCACAGCTGTTCCCTTAAGACAGTTTTAAAGTTGTCCCTAAACATCAAGGTAAGAGAAACACCTCCCTAAATATATAAATTAATACATCTGGTTGTGAAACCCTTTGCCTTAAATTGAGCCAGGACATTTTATCTGTTATCCCTTATTGGTAATCATTTCATCCATTTTTGTACGTCAGCGCTACTTCAAAGCCTTGAGTGTAAATTGAGTCCTTGTGTCTATGTGTGACCTCGCAAATATAGATTGGGTTATTTGCCGACTAAGGTCAGAGCATGATCCGGTGAAGCTTGCCTGACGGTCGTTGTAACATTGTTTACGGTGCAAAGCGCACGTACGTAATGATTGTGTGGTAGTTTATTCTGCATGCATACTGTATAGTACTACATGTACCTAACACCAGGAAATGTTTTCTACGAGTTCCCAGTGTATTCACCAGGAAATGTTTTCTACGAGTTCCCAGTGTATTCACCAGGAAATGATTTCTACGAGTTCCCAGCGTATTTGACGGAAGTTCATAAACTTGGACTATGATGGCTGTGTTGTTTTAGCTATTATTATAGTGTATTCAAGGCCGCGCTGCATTATAACCCGAGCACATTATATGTTGCAGATCTGCGACACAGACAGGATTATAGCGGGGCTTACTTTACCCCCAACCTCGTTTCCAATAGTAAACCCTGGATGCATAGGAAACTTTTTTTAAAGTTGTATCCTAATACAACACCATGTTTGGCAATAATGGATTTATATCGTGTACTTTGTGTTGTTATTTCCAACGTGCATTACGTGTTTTTCACGTTCATTGTAATTCCACGTGCCTTCTCAAAAATACTCCTTTCCTTTAATATGATACTGCACATTGGCTGGGTAAGATAGTTGTAACATTTTTTAGAAAACAATCATGTTTTCGTAACCCACGGCGCGACGAATTAATTATGTTTTGACTCCAAACACCGCGTACAAAAACAAACGCTAATGTAACGTGTTCAAAAATTTTGGACCTGAAATGATCCAATCAGGGTGAGAGATATAGCAGGTAGTGGTGGGAGCGTAATGCTTGACACCCTGGAAACGAGGTTGAATATTCGGGGCATGTAAACAATATTGAATATTCGGGGGATTGCCTGGGCAGGGGGACGTGTCCAGACATGTAATTGACGTATAGGACCATTATAATAATATTGGTTATCTGCAATCCCTGTCACCCATGTTTTGATATCTTACGTATGCAAAGAATTTCAGTAATGTAAATAACAGCTTGTCGATTTTCATGAAACGTATGGCATTATGATATACATGTAGTTGCTTTATATTGGCCGTGCAGAAATAGATGCTTTAAATTAAGACTTATTATCACTTGGACGAACATTTCGAAACGGTTTTGTTAGGAATTACAATTGCACCTTTAATATGTTGCACTCTGTGGAAAGGTCAAGGGAAAATTCCTAGCGTGCAAACTCAGCCAGGCATTTCCAAAAACAGCGCGCTATTTGCAGCATTACTTGTTGACGCACAGATACAGCTATATAGTGTACAGACTAGCGGAAACCCGTGCCTAATACCTTCACTCGGAATTGTGCTAGTTTGTGCCGGCTGGATTTCAAAGGTGAGTAGGAATCTGCTGAAAAAAGATTTACTGTTTTAGTTTAATCATTTCCTTTCAGGAATATCTTTTTTGAGGTACTGATGAAACAGATATGGTTTAATCTCTTGATCTATCGATGATTTGTTTCAAACGCCGTCTGCACTCAATTCAAGCACGTAGGCCCATCCATGGTGGCCTGAATGGACGGTGAATTATTCTCATGCCGTGCAGTTATATTTGCATGTTAACAAGTTCGGTTCTTACAACAATCTATCACTGCATCGAGTTGGATATGGGCGATTTATATAGAATTCGGCTCTGGTCAGTAAAATCACTGGCTAACAACATACAGCAGCGAGCCGTCAGATATCGGACAAAGTCCGGGGCATGATCGGCATCCATGTTGGCGGCATGCAGACACACCTTGCTGAGTGTGCTAGTCATGGCTTACACCTGACATAATTATTGTTAATCCGCCCTCAAGTGGGGACAAGTAGTACAACAGCTAGGTGCATTGCGAGGAAGAAGTATACTTGGCATGCAATGTGTCACGGTAGCTAGGGGTGCCTTAGAAAATTATAGGCCTAGATTTTATTTAAAAAAAAAAAAATATTGGAGTAGCCAATTCAGTCAATTTTCCTTGGTCATCATCTATAAATTAAAATGAGCTCCTAAGTTCCATCATCCTAAAGAAGGATGTGTTAGTTGATGTAGAAATCACACAGGAATCTGTCGACCGCCGAACCAAATAATAGGAATATGCGGAGCGTTGCCTCCCTAATTATTGCACCGCAATTTTTTATATTTCTCACGCAGGGAATTTCCCAAACAGGGGACCGTCGTCATGCTATTGAAAGAGTATCCATAGAAATATTGCGTGCTGAAGGGTTTTCCCTATGATGCAACTGCATATTTTATACCGTGTATAATACTGTGATCGAAACGGTGAAGCCACACCTTTATTTATGACATTGACACTTCACCGTTCGGTGAATGTTGACTTAGGCTGTACAATGTTTACATTAATGAATGCATTGAAACTTGTCTTGACTTTGGAATATTTAAGTAGTCTGCAGACGATCAGAATTAATTATTTAAAGGTCGGTATCAAACAGGCTGAAAAAGCTAATTATAAAGAATTTAAAGAATGTTATCCTTGTTATATTTCTGAACATCCTTTAGTCGTTTCACAGACCTGATAAGAATAATTTGCTGAAATATTGTTTCTTGGTGCACTAAAAAAAAAGCATAATAGATATGTTTGTTTAACACACATTAATGAGAAACGGGCATTGTTGCATATTTTGGTTATTCAAGAGTCTTATGACGAGACCTTATTTTTGTTCTGCTTACATACCAGATTTGAATCTGCACCTAAAGCTTGGAGTATCCTGCAATCATGTCTCTCCGGTCGGCGAGAGCGGCATACAATGCGGTAGCATTCTTGGGACGACTCGGTGGTTCTGGCGCACCCAAAGCGGAGATACCTAAAACACCGGGTATTGGTATGATAATCCCCATTGTATTGAAAAAATATTAGCAATTAATGGAAAGCAGTTTATAACAAATTCATTTCACTCCCATGATCAGACAGAATACAAAGAATGAGGCCATATTTCATTTGCCTGCATACCAGTTGTTGTTGTTGTTGTTGTTTTTTTAATTTTTTTTTCTGAATTTTGCGGAATATGTGCATCAGACAATAATAGGTCAGCATATTTCACAGATCTTGATTTTTCTAGTCAATAAAATTTCTAAATCAAGATCTGATTTGTATTTCCTGACAAACATGGCACCATGTAGACTAATTTCAAATTGGCATCCAAACCGAGGGCACCGGTGCTCTTTGAGCAGGAGATTGAAAAAGCAAAAGATCCTCAAGGCCCACAATGACTTGGTACCGACAGCCTCGATGCAAATTTGAAATTCGTCTTTGCACTCAAATTATGTAACACTTACTACAGATGAGCAGAGGGTGAAGTCGGTGGACTTGTTGACGGCCAAGAACCAGCCTGCTCACCATACTGACCCGTACGAGTACGGGGGCCTGGTGGTGAGGCGCGGCCAGGCCTTCGATGTGGAAATCACGCTGGCCAAGAATGACGACGCAGTTGTCCTGACCGTCGAATTGTGGTGGGGTAAGGATAGCATGTCATTGTATTTTACAGTTCCCGGCAACTCGGGTTGTTGAGTGAAATCTCAAATTTGTTAGTTGATTTGTCCATAGCTAATTGAGAAAAAGGAATAATGTCAAAACATGTGGCCCATAACCATTAATTATATCAAATAGCTTTTTGCATTTCCATATATCAGAAATTCCCATACTAACAGTTACGTAAAATTATTTTAAAATTCCAAAAGTTACAGAACACAATGAATATTCTCCACTTTTATGACAAGATGTCCATTTATTTTCACATAACACCGACAGGAGATAAACCAATGGCGTCTCACGACAACTTTATCGTCATCCCCGTGCGTGCAATTGGTGGAGCAAGTGATGACGTCGACGAGTGGGCTGCAAAGGTCACGGGAGTTCAAGAGACCAAAATGACCGTGAGGATCTCCTCTCCATCCACCTGTCAGATTGGCCGGTACAAAATGGCGGTTAAAACAAGTGTAGGTGAAACAAATGATTTCCGCTTCGAATTGGAGGGCCACATCTACGTGCTTTTCAACCCCTGGTGTAAAGGCAAGTCTTAGCAAAATTGTTTCACCTGCAGCTGAATATTGACACTGGCCGTTATTAAATTATAACACTTGTTTTCTCACTTTAAAAACTGTGGTGTTTAATTAACATAGTGTGGTTCCTACATTTATCTGTATTAACAATTCAGTTTTCCAGGAGTAGACCTATACTGTGTTAGACCTATAGACTGTGATGAAACCTAATCTCAGTATCGCCGAAACAAAAAAGGCAAACAACCTCAAACTTACACCAAAAAAACACGTAGCATTAATAACTGACAATCCGAAAATCCAGTGATAAGTTACACATTCAAGTTTTTTCGTGGTTTCTGATGCATATTTAATTTTTTCATTAAATTACAATTTTTTTTCAATTTCAAACAGACGATGATGTGTTCATGCATAACGAGGAACAGAGGAAGGAATACGTTCTGAATGACATGGGAATGTACTTCTATGGAAACAGCAAATACGTTGGCTCTTCACCCTGGTATTTTGGCCAGGTAGATTATCTCCAACATTTCTCGGTTAATTTAAAAACACTCCACGCTGAGGCCTAGTCATTTCTGTTTTTGTGAGGTTGACAGCTATTACTCCTAATTTCCTACAGCAGTGTAAAGTCTCAAGACTTGCTTGAAATAGCCTTGGCTTTATCCTTTTTTTCCCCATCTAAATTTCTCATAATATCTTGAAGATATTGAGATTTTGGGTAAATAGACCGCAAGATACTACACTGCATGTTTCTACACTGCCTGATTCTTTTGGCGTTGTTACTGATGGTTTCGTAGCTGAAAATTGTTCACAAACGTAGAGTCTAGAATTGTTTAATTTGGTGGATAGGTTTTAAAGCTATAGGTATAATTATACACGTTGGGGTCTTAAAGAATACTATGATTAGCTCCAGAAACCTTTTAGCCCGTGTTTTTGACTTTCCAGTTTGAGTTGGGCATCATGGAGTGTGTGGTGCGTCTTCTGGAAAGTGCTGAGAAGCGATTTGGTGCTTATTCAAGTTCAATCGAGATATCCAGACTGCTATCTGCTCTTGTAAGTTAATTCAGCAAACGAGGTTTGTAACACAAATTTACTTTTATTGGAAAGTTTTTTTTTTTTTGCCAGGCGATTTCTAATTTTACTCGTGCAGTTCTGATGACCGTAAAGTCAAGTTATTTTTAAATCTGACTTTTGACAATACATTACTCGATCAATTGACTTAAACGCATCATTTGCATCAGTACATGAAGATAATCTCATCCTAAATTGCCATGCAGGTCAACTCGCCGGATGAGGGCGGCATTCTCGTGGGCAACTGGAGCGGTAACTACGAAGGTGGCACGGAGCCCACTGCTTGGTCTGGCAGTGCATCGATCTTCGAGGAGTTCATCAGAACAGGACAGCCGGTCAAGTATGGCCAGTGCTGGGTGTTTGGGGGTCTTCTCACAACAGGTAGGTTGGTATCATATACAGGGTGAATAAAAAAAAGCGAAACCCAAATGTCGGGACCATTGTTTTAGTGAAGTTCTGCATGTAGCCCTTTCAAAATCTAGGATACAAAAGCGCAATTCATAGGCTTTCTTTTAGTACAAGAATCATTCAAATCACTCATGCACTTTTTAAGTTACAGAATTTTAAACACAACCACCGTTTTAAAGTTCTGTCCACGGATCACAAGAAGGTAAGTGTTCTTTCAGCAAAACGAAAACAAATCACATATATAAAACGGTGGTTGTGTTTTAAAAAAATTTTTACTATCGTTTGAACTTCTTTTCTACATGGACACTGTATTCCTTAAGCCAGCATCTCTGACTCATAATATTTGATCAATTTTTGTTTCTCATCGTTTCGGAAATAATAATCAGATCTGCATGATATGCTACATCCTCGCTTTCAATGTTTTTTCCTCAACTATATATAGCTCTTCGTGCCGTTGGTATCCCGGCCCGTACCATCACCAACTTCTCCTCCGCTCATGATGCCGATGCTAACTGCTTACTGGACTATCATTTCGATAAGGACGGGAAATCACTCAACACGGCCGACAGTGTCTGGTTAGTTCCATAATGTACACGACGACTCCAATCTAAGTTTAACAAAGTTTACTCTGTACAAATTTCCAGTTAGCATTGAGACCGAAGCCTCAATGCTTTTGCTCGAGATTGAAAAAGGTACCGATTGTCCCAAAGTTGCTTAGCCCTGAACGCCTCAGCTTCATTGAAAATTTTGAAAATGTGTCTATTGGAAAATTTTGGTGCCACACCCAAACTAGGTTTTTAACTTTCATGGAAATGACACTATGTTAAGTGGTTCAATATATAAATTGGTATTAAGTTGTTGTGTATTTCGTCATGCAAAGCCAAAACATATTAATAATAATATTGCCTCATCAGTATTGTAAAGAATTCTTTTTCACTGTACTAACACTGTTCTTTTTTTGTTAATTGATATGTCCTTTTCCACAAAATCCTCAGGAACTTCCATGTCTGGAACGACGCTTGGATGGCCCGGCATGACTTACCAAAAGGCTACGGGGGATGGCAGGCTGTGGACTCTACTCCACAGGAATATAGCGACTGTAAATATCATTCACATTATAATAACATAAAATCATGGTATTTGAATGCCAAGGTCGATAACAATACAAAATCGACAGTTCGTACATTCGTACAATACACGAAAGCAAGACATGTTGATAGCGCGTATAGAGGCCTACCGGCATTTTTCCCCGTCTACCTGCAAAGCGTTTATCCCTAATTGATTACCTACGTGCCTGTAATTCGTAATTTCGTGGCTAGCTGTAAGCCTATAAAATTGTGTTTCTGATACACTCTTCAAACAGTATTGTTGCAATCACAGCAATGGTATTAATGTTTTTTCCCAGAGGATTGTTTCAATACTGTAGATAGTTTTGAAATAGGATGAGAATAAAATTGTAGAAGTAAATAACGTTTGTCACAGCCCTGATTTCAAAAATGAATTTCACATCCATTTTAACGTTGTTTTCCAATGAACGGACGTCATTTCACTTGTTTCCTTTTCTACCATTTTCCTTTTTTCTTGAAGATGTTTTCCGTTGCGGACCTGCCTCCTTGACCGCTATCAAGAGCGGTCACGTCTACCTGAGCTATGATACCAAGTTCGTGTTCGCTGAAGTCAATGCATGCAAAGTCAAGTGGATGATCAGCACAGACTACTCGGTGGTGCGGATCTCATTTCTTCAAAACTTTTTTCTTTAAGACTCAAAACCCTGAATTCGTCAAAATCTGCTCCTTAGTTTGGCATCAGTTTATGCATTCAGGTATGAGGAATCAGGCCACTGTTACCTCAAAAATCAGAGAGGTCCCAAAGTTTGTTACAAAATAATGTGCTGCGCTTTGGCGCATTCAGGACTATTCATGTCAAAATGTTAAAGTTACTTGTATGTCGATTGTTGTGAAAACTTTTTCAAGCTAAAGCTCCATGTTCATTACCGTTGCATGGTATTACTAAACAGGATTGTACGGACGGACAAGGCATATATCCTGTACGCATATTGTCTTGAACTGATCTATTCAAAGCTGATGATTACTCTTCCTACAGTCCGATCATATTGATGAAAACTATTGGTTAATTTTTTTCGCAGGCGCCCAAGATCATAAGTATTGAAACTGACGCAGTTGGAACTAGCGTCTTGACAAAAGCTGTTGGAAAGATGGAGAGAGAAGATATCACCTCGCAGTACAAACCAGAGGAAGGTCTGTTCTCACTGAAATGAACTCTGAGCCAATCAATTTCTTTTGAAGCTGATGACTTAAAATATCAGAGCCTCTGTGCTTATTTTAGTGTCGATCTAAAAGTTTGTACTCTTCTCAATTTTTTGTAATTCCAGTAATAAGTCTTCTTAATCCGTGTTTTTTTTTCCAACGAGGCTATTATTTCACTGACATGAAATCCAGACTTTGGCTTTATCAAGCCTATCAAAGTCACACTACTTACAAAAGACATTCCCCTTACATATGTCCCTATCATTCAAACCTTCCAATCTTATTACTATATTCCATTTCTCTTCATATTCAGGTTCCATCATGGAGTACCTGAGTCTGTTCACTGCCGACAAGCACGTGGACAGTCTCAAGAAACTGATCGCCGAGCCTGGCAAGGACACGAACCTAGACATCAACCTGCCAGAAGACGTCCTAATCGGCAAAGACTTCACCGTCAAAGCCAAGTTCAAGAAAACTTGCCCCGTCAGCGAGTTGCGGAGCGTGACTCTTTACATCTCGTGCACCAGCATGTACTACACTGGCGTCAAGGCTAAACTGGTCTTTGAGTCCCAGGACTCGGTTGAGATCAAAGACGCAGAAGCAGGTTAGGTGAAACCTTACAGGTGTTCATGATCACTGAAATGAACCAATGCTCCTCTCAAAAAATGTGACAAAACGGCCCCTCATTCTCCCACAAAAGAAAGCAATAAAAAAGCTTGATGCACAAATTAATGCCGAACCATAAAGCTGCTTTTTGTCGTATTGAGGTTTTTCTAATTATTAACAGTGCTTTTTTTTAGAGAGAAATAAAGCATTCATCCAATATTTATATATCACCTCTTTAGTCCATGAGTGGCAGGTGAAGGCAATCGACTATCTGCCCAACCTCGTAGACCAGGCCAACCTCCGCTTCCAGGTCACCATGTTTGTTGCGGAGACCAACCAGATCGCCAACAAAGGCTCAGACTTCCGCTTGATCAAGCCTGACCTCGAGGTGCAGGTAAAGTATGGCTTCCTTCCTTGGTTCTGACCCGAGCTTACCTGATAACAATGTACGAAGTGTACACTGCATAAAACAATCCTTCAGCGGTAAAAATGCAACGTTCATGTGTGAAGGACAACTTCGCACACGGAGGCGCAGGTTTGTGCACACCGCCCTTTACGCGCGCGTGCACCAGTGCATGTGCTCTATTTGACAATCAGTTAATCTTTTGAGGGTTTCTGCCAAACTGTTATTTCGTTTAGGCGTATATTTGCGCTTATACATGTAGTACTGACATTTCTCTCCCGGAGTCAAAACCGAAGAACACATTCGTGCTATATACACTTTGCGCCTAATCTGTTTAGTGAATTTAAATATTAACACTACAACAATTGAATATATCGATCCATTCAATTTATGATCTCAAAATAGTATACCCTTAGTTCAAATATTGTTATATTACGCAAATGGCGACGGCATATAGCTCATAGCTCGTTTGTATTCCTGTTTTCAGAGTTTCACCTGTATAATTATAAAGACTTTTGTTCAACAGCTGTTTATCCTAACTCTTGATCGATAGGTTCCTAAGACGGTAGCCGCTGGTACATCATTCACCGTCGATGTCAAGTTCACCAATCCGCTGTCAACAATTCTCCATGGATGCTTCTTCCATACCGAAGGACCTGCTGTGCTATTGCATAAGAAGGAAGCATTCAGGTAGACATTCCTTTATGATATTTAAACTGTTATTAGGCCTGTCCCTAAGATAATTGTTGATTGTCGTTTAAAGTTTTTTTGTAAGCATGTTTACTTTCAAATTTGAATACTTGCTACTCCTGTTGATTATGCTTGACATAATTTTTTGAAGTTTTATTCAACCATTAAAAGAGATTCGCCAACCCCCAACTTATGTTCTTTTTTCTCTATAAATAAACGTATTGTGCATTTACAAGTGTTGGTTAAGCAAAAATTGCGCACACTGTTATTATTTGTGGTTTCTTTAAAAACAGTGTTATTATGTTAGAAATGCAAAAATACGTCAAAATTATCCAATAGTTATGATGTATCACACAACAGACTTACTTTGAGTGAGTTACCAACGATTGGTCTCTTTTCGTTAATGTAGAAACATCAAAGGCAACGAAACGGTCCAGTACCAAGTCACTGCTGTAGCCAAGAAGCCGTCGGGGACCAAGGAAATCCTGGTGTCCTTCTCATCCTTGGATCTGATTGGTGTTATGGGAAAGGCCTTTGTAAACATAGTTTAATCGGCCAATAACAGTAGCTAGTGAGATAATTATGCAAAGAATGGCACTATCTGATTGGTGTCTTTGTTGAAGCATTTGTCAATATTATTTTATTGTCCAATCACAGCAGCCAAAGAGGCAATTATGGTAATTATGCAAAGAACGGCACTGTTGGATTTGTGTCTTGGTTGGGGAAACTATTTGACAAAAAAAATTAACCGTCAAATCACAGCAGTCTTTCTAAACTATAAGCCTTACATGATTACGGAACCAATTTGGATTGAACTTGAGGCGCTAACTGTTGTTTTGATTTAACCATCATTAGTACTAGTCCTATGTGGATAAATAAACAGATATGCTTAGATTTCTTGTATAATTTTGAAAACAAAAAGATACGTACTTTGTAGAGTCTTAGAGCTAATGATATAAATTTGGTATAAAGTACTCTATTTGATTACATTAGTACGGTACTAAGGGTATTTAAAGCATAGATTCATTTCACGCATTTGTAATATGCATACGTGATTCAGAATTGGCAGGAGGTATTTTCAATAGCTTGTTTTAAGAGTGCCGCTTTAATGGTCACCGTCTGTCAACGAACGAATGGCCGTGACCTTGAATTAGAAAGGTCAAAGCGACATCTCCTGCTGGTGCATGGGAACTATAAGGACGATCTTATACGAGTTCATCTAACGATCTGGTTCTTGCAAGTGTAATCTCTGATGACGCAATTCGAAAGAATTTTAGAGTTGGAAAAATCCATTCGAGATGTTTCATGTAGTTATGTACCGTTGGGTATAAATTTGTCAAGAGTTGGCTTGGCGAGAATGTGATAATTGTTTTGGACCTGACACGGGAGTCGATATGTACTCCACTAGGCTAATCTCTTTTCAAAAAGGATAGTTTGATGTTATGAAAGTAATTGAACTTTATAAACAGTTGATTTTATCCCGCCGATATGTTGTTATAATTCTAACGATTATATTAAGCAAGATATTCGAGCAAGTGGGGAAGCCAATAGATGGCAAAGATACACATCCGCCAACGAAGAGACGGGCCCGGGACCTTCAGACAAAGACATTCAATCGTTTTAATTTCATATTCGTACTTGCAGTACTTTTTAATATATCACTGCACGATCAGAAAAATATATATATATTTTTTTCTTAAATTAAATCTTAGAAAAGAAATGTGGTACTGGTAGAGTATGCAAAGTTTTAGAGCCAAAAACGCAAGCCTAAAAGAGTGAGTTTGAGAAACAAACAGTACACAAAATTCTATTAATAAAATATTATGTTATTTTAATTTGGAAAAAAAATACTGACCGTGGCCTTCACTTCCATGTTTCTTTAAGCTATTCATTTGTGACCTTTTTTTCGTAGCACTTTCGATATACACTTTAAAAGCTTCCCATCGAAGACTTGGCAAGTCTACTTTGTGCTTCATAAGGAATGGCGCGCCGAGAATGTCGTGGTATGGCGTGCAAACGGTGTAACGAATCATCACGTCTGATATCTCAATAGACAAACTATGTGTACTTTAAGAAATGTACGTGAAGCCCGGTAGCTATATTTTTTTTGCAGCGCTCCATAGAAGGTCCAGCGTCCAATACTGATGTCGCAGTACACAAAATCTACAGTTACTAACGTGAAGTCTATTTGAAGGAGAAAACAATCTTATAAAATGTTTTTCACACCAACGGTTGAGCTGTGGTGGGTGAAATCCAGTGATTTGGTGGATTTGATCAATTCCGATTGCACCTCAGCCAGGTTTAGAAGATTGCTTCGACACTGCCTAAACCCAAACAAGACTGTTGGTGATATGCAGCTTACACCCCTGCACCACGCTGTATACAAACAAAGATCTGACTGTGTTGATCATCTCCTGAATCAACTCGCTGATGTCAATGTGCAGGATTGTTGCGGTTATACACCCGTCCATCTCGCCGCCAAACATGGACTGGTGGACATCCTGGAGCAGTTGGTGCGGCCGGTCAACAGGGCCGACACAAACAAGCCGGACGTGGTCGGTATGACCCCGCTCTCCCTCGCCATACAGGGAGGTCACCGAGCCTGCGCAGAGGTGCTGCTCAAAAATGGCGCCAACCCCAACTACAGCCATAAACACATCGGTTACGAGATTCACCGCGTCCCGTTTGACTCGCCCGAGTGTTTCCAATTACTGCTGAGGTACGGAGCCAATCCGGAGTCTCGAACTCCGACTAGAGGACTAACGGCACTGCACGCAGCAGTTGAGGCTGGGAACCTCGAATTTGTAGAGATTGTGGTGACTCTAGGGTGTAACATACACGCTTGGACTACTCCCCGGGCACCAGAGAGACCCAGACGCAACGCACTTCAGCTAGCAATCATAGGAAACGAGGTCGACATCGTGAGGTGTCTACTGGCTCACGGAGCTGACCCGAACTGCCGCGACCAGCAGGGTAACACCCCGTTGCACCACGCCTCGGCACACCGGGACACCGATATCATCACGGTGTTACTGGACAACGGTGCCGATATCCACGCCTTGAATGACCGCCAGTATCAGCCGCTACACCGTGCCTGCTCCGCTGGGAGAGGCCCCGAAATCCTTTCCTTGCTCATGAGGAGTGGCGCCGACATGGACGCACGAACTCGCACCAACGATACACCACTTAAGTGTCTCCTTCTTCATTACATCAATGTGTTGCTCACTGAAGAGGAAGATCACAGTCAAGTGGATCATGCTTGTCTGTTGGGCATAGTAGCCTTCATCAACAGTGGAGGGCGCTTTACCATCTCCACAGACAGGGACGACTTCCGGAGTCTGCTGAAACTGCTGCCCCAGTTGACCTCACTGCCACAGACCATTCAACTTCTCATAGCAGGTTCAGATTGCATATACATCGAAGACATCGATGACCTGCTGTTCAGTTTTATCAGGGAGCCCCTCAGGACCCAGCTGTACCTGGCCACTCGTAACCCACCTTGTCTTGGACGGATGGTGAGGCGTGCCATTCGGTGCCTGATTGGTTACAAGCGGTGCGAGGAGGCCGTCCGAGATTTGCCGTTGCCGGTTTTGCTGCAAGACTATTTACTGTTTTATTGGGGTTGAGGCACAGACCAACGATAATTATACAAATGTAGCAGCACTGGAATTTTATGACCTAGCCTGTCTTTATGATCCAGACTGTTTTAGGAGGAATATCAATTCCTACCTCCAGCTTTCCTAATTATTTTTTAAGCATATTTTTCTTCTGTCTAGCCTTTTGCCAAGAGTAGCTTTTACAGCCTCGCTTGGGACGATTTTGCATTTATTTTTAATGGGAGAGCGTTACCAAGTGCTTCCGTCTTTTTAAAGTGCTAAGAAATGTATCTTCTTATGCGAAATTCCTTGCGATTTTCAGCCTAAATGGCTTTACAATGCATGAAATTGTGCAAAAAAAATCGAAACACAAATCCAAACACTGTTTAATAGTGAACCGATGCTTAGTGTGTGCCGCACACTGCTATATAAGTGTTTACTAATTATCGCTTTGACGGTTTAACCTTTAAGATATGTTGTCAGCAAGAAAGCGAATTTTTTTCTCTTAAGTTGGTGAATTATATTTTTTTCCCCAGATATGCATCAATGTGTCTAAGTTATTTCATTGTTTAAGCCTTGCATCACGAAGTATCCAGTGTAACACATTTCAGCTTGCACGCATTCGGTAACACAATATGCATACGTACCCGGTACAGCTCAAGGGAGTGAGATACCGACACTCGTTTACCATTGATCCCTGCATATAGAAAATTCTCAGATTTTACTACGTGAAACTGAAAGTGTAATTTGGTGCACCTGAAAGACCTTTATCTCGGTTCGTGCAGCCAACAAAACCAAGGGTTTAAACAACAGTATAAAACTTGGATCCGGTTCCATTTTTAATTCCATTATGATGCGCTATGGACAGCGAGCATGCAGAGAAGATGTTCAATGCTGGTCTGAGAGCATTAGACATACGATACCAGCAGCTGAAAATTGCCGGCTAGAATTTCGAGCTTGGTTAATGTTTTAATTGGAGGGTTCGTAGCGGCACAAAAGGCCCGAATCCTAAACCCCTTACATTTCCCAGCAAATTGAATTGGGGTCAGGGGACTGTCTATGGTTACCTCTGCCATTGCTCAGGTGCCAGCGTTGAGTGAAGCACAATCAATTTTCCTTTTAACCACTCTGCCCACATTTCTGCACGGGTCGTGTCTCAAGACGAATCGGCTCGAGGAGAATCGACAGTCTTCAGAGCGTTGGTATGATTTGAAGTCATGCATTAAAGCGGTTTTCAAAAGGTGCTGCTTGAGGGCGCCATATTTGCAACTGGTCTAATCGAATAGCAAGTTCAATGAGTTTGATTTTACAAGGGATAAATATCCTAGGAATTTTTAATCCGTTTTGAAGGAAAGAGCACCTGATGCATACAGTTTGTCAGCGAAAGACGGGCCGTTAAGATATGGTTGTAATAAAATCACAGTCGGTAATGAGAGGTTTTTATAATGTCTGTGCTGCTTGAGCGATTTAAGAAATTGTAATTTTTGAATTAGAAACAATTTCTCTTCATTTTTCTAATCACATGAGGTCGCTTTAATAACGTGTTTGCGTGATGCAATCAAGGGACGTCAAAGCTTATGTAAAAACAAACCGTTTGTGCAAGGCCGGTTTAATAAAGTTTAAATAATCAGTTCCAGTGCCTTTTATGAAACAATTCATCCGAAAAGAATTACACGGGTAGCCATCAAGATTGAACACTTATTTTTTTTGTCCCTTTGGTAACATCACTACCATCACATGAGTACGAGAATGGACTTGCACCAAACTGTCCTCGACACAAAGATAAAACAAGCCTCAAGCAGAATTCCACCACACCACTACTTTAATTTTTCCTGATGTGTCCCACCATACTTACGATAAATCTGTGCACAGCATGTTGGAATTTTGACCACGCTTTGTGCAATGGCTGTTGTCGCTCATCACCATCAGAAATCATCCTATAGTGTATCACACAGTGGGGACTTATTTTGGCTTAGACTTCGTCTCCTTTGCGAATAGTTTGACCCACTTAAACTGTTAAATTACGTTTAGGGTAATCATTCCCAAACCACTCTTCATTTTGGACACTGATGAGGGTTTTTACCACTGTGACCCTATAAATCCTAGAGAAGATGCCTCAGCCAGCACGTCTGCCGGACCATCTGGCTTCATTTTTTTCTCGGGAATGAAGACGGAGATGCTGACAGTCACTATAAGTTAAAAGGCACTTCATGCTCTAAACTCCTTCAAGTTCTTCAGCTACTTCCTGTCCATTTGCAAATCATTGATTTTCCTCCCCCAAGAAATCCCCCAGGAGGACTGATCATCATGGTCACTGCTTAGAGAAAGTTCCTGGCAGGGATTTTATATGAGACATGATGTCGGCCTCATTATCACGATGCTTTTCACGTCGTCATGCTGTTTTCCACTGGGAACGAGTCCACAGGGAACATGCATGTTGTCGAATATTAAATGCATCCTTGTTTTCAAGTGTCATTGCAGTTTCAGACAGAAATGGTTGAAACCTTTTAAATCCTTCCATACATTTTTAAGCTCTGGCAGGAGTTTCTACATGTCACTTGGTGGTCGGTCGGTCTGTCGGTCTGTCTGTCTGTCTGTCTGTCTGTCTGTCGTGCTGTCTGTCTGTCTGTCTGTCGGGCTGTCTGTCTGTGGTGTCTGTCTGTCTGTCTGTCTGTTCCCGAAAGTTGACCAAAACTATGGTGTTCCATTATGTGCCATCAGCGTCGCATTTTCTGCGTTGCATTTTTAAGCTCTGGCAGGGATCATTTTGATCGATTTCATGCAAGACTTCCATGCAAGACTTCTTGCAGCACGGTCAGAGCTTATTGTGCACTGACTCGCACTTGTTCTTGTTTTTGTTTTAACCAAAGACGGAATGGTTTTCAATATCGACTGGAGTCAATTTCTAACCTCAATCAACATCACTGATTCTATTAACAGCGTCAAAATACCCAGTTATATATTTTTTAATCGTTCAGTGGAGCGTGCACTTTGAAGTTAATTGAACCGATCGATGATAATTTAATTGATGGGAGAAATAAAGCAAGCTGAGCACAAATAAACCAAGTCAAATACCACTGATCTTGAGCAGCGTACATCTCATTCTATCGCCACCATTAATGTCAATGCGTATGTAGAGAGGGTGTATACGTATCAAGTAATATAATTCGACATCCTTTTCAGTTGCGAAAAGAAGATGTCAAATCTGGTTATAGGCAATATTTGCACAACTCTAAATATATAGTGAGACAAAATAACACGGGAGGACCGTGTAAAGAATATCTAACAACATTATGGCAGAAGCCGCCTGCAAAAGGTCTTCTCCGCCATCATGACCTGATTGTCAGAAGCCTTGAGGTGGGATCAAGTTCATCAACCACCTGGTCTTAGATGTATGTTCTCTACTTTAAAGAAACTTTGTCGCTTAGAAGCATATTTTCTAAGAACACGATAGTGTCGGTTTATACGATCGCGGTGACGTACGCCAAACGAGCACTTTAAGCCCTCGTCACTTATCGACTCTGCAAATCCGGTTGTCGACATCTCAGCCATGGGTAAAACCGGAGAAATCGAGGATGAACTGTCAGCGCCGATAACTTGCTCGCTAGTATCGATTGCTCCGTAATACGATGCAGCAAAGTGTCCAGTCCTCTCAGACTAGTAGGTTTCTAGAGATTAGGTAGAGAAAAAGAAGGCAAAAAAAACACAAAGAAAAATAAAAAGAGTAAACTTGTTTACTGTGAAAACGCTGTAGCCGAAATCAAGGGCCCTCATTTGACTCGGGTCATTTCGTGATTGATTCTCAGGGTTTTTCTTACTTCTACAAACGTCATGCACTGTAGCATTAGCGGACTGTATTTAGGTCAAAGTGCCGGCAGGTGCATTTGGCAGGTGACGAAGTACAAGACAGCAAGATGAACCCCATGCAGCTCCTTATAAATGTTGGAGCCATTTGACTGAATAGAGAAGGCACTTATAAAACATCATGTCTATAGGGAAAACCTGTGCGAGCGCAAAATACATTAATCGAATTAGTGTTTGAAGACAGAGCAAGATCTCACCTTTAAAAAAAAAGTTAAATCGCCCTTGTATATGAAAATTACATCTAGATATTATATCTAGATATTTAAGTTAAGTGCTATAGACCGAATCGTCCAAAACGATCACTCAACTATAAAAAAAACCCCACATATTTCCATTCAACCTGTCTGTTTCTCTCAGAACATGGTTCAAATGTACTAATTTTCTTTCTAATTTTTGTGCTATATCACACGAAATCTCCCGTGTGGCATTAATTGTATTATACCTCCCGCAGTCAAGGCTATTATGTGTCAAGCCAATCCTTCCTAAATCCCCTTGAGAACTCGCATTTTCAGCGCGAAACCACTGCTGTTTCTCCGACGTGTTTCTGCATATCTGGATATCACATTGAGCTTCAGTCTGCCTGAAAATCGAGCAATTTAAATTGTACTTTTGCAGGGGTTCAGTTCGTGGTGTACGAGTTATTTTTCAATGTTAAGATCGATGGTTTCCTTAGTTAACGTTCCTTACTAGCGTTCCAGAAAATCCAATTCATATCAAGTTTGAATGGACTAAATTATTCGAACACGTCCAGGCAACAACTTCGAACGAACATGAGATCAATAAATTTGCAGTGCATTTAGTCGCTTTGGGAAAGTGCTGAAAACTTTGGGGGTTTATAAAATGCTCTCAAAGTATAGGAACTTTCTCGCTCAACAATGACATTTCTGCTGAGTATTTTCGCAGACGACCTTACGCGAAGGTCAGGAACGGTTCCTATTAATTACCATGGATGGGAAATTCTGTATGAGAAATCGGTATCCTAATAATCGATTCTGACTTGGGTTTAAACAAACGGCTGTTTTGTGGCAGGCATTGCTCTTTAAATAAGAGAAATCTTATCGTCAGGACGCCATTCTCGTTCAAAATTGTTTAAATATGCTCCTGGACGTGACTTGCTGATTCTCTTAACAAAATGTATGATTAATAGTTAAAGGATGCGAAGAAAAACTTTTGAAAAAACTTTTGGACAAGTTAAAAGAACCGTAAACAGCCGTTTGGTTTTCCTTCTGGAGCGCGCGCGCGCGTACTCGGCAGTGAGCGCACCTGTTGAGACAATAGCTGGACATTCCTCGCGCATACCTGGTATTATCAATACAACTAATGCACTTGAACGGCTAAACACCACTTCTTGTAATTATCAGTGTCAAAAATGGCGTCGAAACAACAACACCGGCTGTGGAAGCATTTTCGCGAAGATGAAAAGTTCGCGAAGTACGTGTTATTGGAAACTCTGTGGAAAGTGGATAATGTGTGAATGATGAACTGACGGAACTTATTCTAATAAACTGGAGTTTCATTTCAATAGAACATTATATAAACGACGCTGAAAAGAAATTGTCAGTGGTATTCATCAAGTTGACTGCGTTGTAATTTGACGTTCGGTTCTATTATAAACAACATGCACGCGGAACTACTGCAAAGGACCGCTTGGAAATAGCAGTCGTGCGCTTCATAATAACCGGAGGATATTGTATAATATGGAAGATAAAACGCGAGGAAAGATGATGAATTACTGTCTGCAAAAAAAGTGTCGTCATGTCCCGGGGCGAAGATTCGTCAGATTGACAGCCAAAATGATAGTGCAATTTGCCCACAGAGACTTGTGGCTCTACTTTTAGCAAGGAATCTCTGAAATCTCGGAGGATTAATACCTGGAGGTGAAGCTGATATGTTAAACTGGGTAAGTTTGCCTTCACTTTTATCCCTGCTTTGTCAGTACTAAACAATGAATTTGAACAATATTTTTTTTTAAAATAATGTTGAACAAAGAAATTGAAATGGAGCGGGGCTTGGACCTGCGACCTCCGGATAACCGTTCTGGTGCTCTACCAACTGAGCCATCCTATCTGAGTTCCCAATTAGTCAATATTTAGTGTTCAATGGGGCGCTAGTCAGAAGTCATAAACTAGTATGCCATTCAGCCAGGGATCAAGCCCAAAGTCACGATACAGACCTGGGAAATAGCAAACGGGGATAAAAAAAAAAATTAACTTTTTAAGATTACTTTTGGAAAAACGCTTTACTTAAGTAAGTTAAGTTTTAATAAAAAAACGGCAGCAAATATACAAATTCATAATTACAATTTGCACATCTGAAGCTCGTTGATTATACTGACCACTAACGAAACAGTAACATTATTTATCAACAGTCTAATTGTTAAGAGGAAGCCACCTCCCGTTTATGGCCCATGTTTTATTGAGGATAATTGAGGTCAGTAATCTCTTGTACGCGTGCATTGGACTTTTCTGATACGAGCGCGTCGCCGTTCAACCTCGCGCGTGACCGCCAACGAGTGACCCCTCGCTTGTGTTCTTAATGGGTTTGCATAGGCGGTCTGCATATATCCGGTTTACGGGAAAGCTGTATAATAATAACACACAAAAACATAAATAAATAGATAAATAAAGAACGTGGAGATATTGACTTTTCCGCGGGTGTTGTTGGGTGAAGTTTCGGTATTTTGGGGGCCATAAGAGGCTGTAGGAAAAATCGAGTGTGTACGCCTATTCAGAGCAAAAACATAACTTATTTATTTACATAGGCCTAATTGAGTCCAGTAAAAAAAAAATTCTCGGCGAAATTGGGTTCTACGCATTAGAGAATGGTAATGTTCGTGAAGCGCCGAAACCCATATCCCAACGGATATTGAAGCTTTGGATTTTATTTCAGCGTGTTGACGTCACTCTTACTTGTTTTTGATAATAATCGTGGCTCTTAAGCTTACTTCAATTGGTTAGCTGAGAAATAAACCCGGGTATTTCCGAGGGGTGCGGATGAGTGTGAGTTCTTTCGCCTGTAGTTTGATTTTTAATCATTCACCGGTGATTTAGGATCATTCGGGTTACAACTTTAAAATCCATTTCATTTGTAATCTGAGACGAACCATTAAAGTCTTGTATTAAGCCATAAAAGTAGCGCGAGGGTCGCCACGGGCTCAAATTTACTCTTCCTCCAGAAGCTTTCAATGCGTAGCGGGAGGAAAGGGAAGACAAATAAGACTGGAGCTACCTGAGATTTTAAAGCTGAGATTAGGCGGGAAATGATGCAGGTAATTCGAGAGAAATGATCGAATGGGTTGTTGAAGGCCTCGGGCAAGGCCGACGTGCGTGGTGAGG